CAGAATCTCGGTGTAGGTGGGCAGCCTCTGACCTGGCCTCACACCCTAGCTCCACCATTTCCTGGTTGCTACATAACCCTTGGCAAGTTACTCGACCTCTCCAAGCCTGTTTTCTCAGCTGTAAAATGGGAATCATAAGAGTGCAAGCCTCATAGGGTTTTTGTGGTCATTAACTGAAATGAATGAGTAACTGTGTATCCAGAGTCAAGCAAAATGGCTAGTAATAGTAAGCATTCATCAAATGTTAGTTTTCATTATTAATTATTCACTCATTTAACAAACTTTGATCAGACAGTTATTCTGCTCCAGGCCTGTGTGCTTGGGCCTGACGATACGTAACAAACCAGGCGTGATGTGTGATAAACTCTGCCCGAAGGTTACTCACAGGCCTTGGGAGACCAACACAAGGAGAGGATTATAACGCAAGAGGGGAGTAAAATGATACCGGCAAGTTATGATATCATATAGGCATATGACATGGCATTTTATCAACAGCAGCCAACCAAGATGCTCTAAGAGAGTTTGTGAAGCAAAATCTTTAACTTCCCAGAACGATGCTACAAACTGAAACACAGCCTCAAATTAAACACCGACATCACAATATTTTATAAAAACAAACAATAAGCTCCTAGGATTTAGAGGTGAAGACTCTTAGTTCAAATCCCAACTCCATAACCTACCAACCTTGTGATTGGAAACTTCTCTGGACCACAATTTACTCACCTCTAAAACTGAGATAAAATACTGATACACCTCACATGCTTGTTAGGCAGATGGAACGATGTACGTGAAAGTGCTTTGTAAATTTTCAAATGTCATTATAATTATTACTAATTACAGGGGAAATGGGAGGATAAAGAAGTAGGGGGAAAGGAGGAGAGAAGGAGAGGGAGAAACACTCGAGCGTTTGCTGAGGTACCTGGGCAGCCACAACGAGCAGGATCCTGTGCATGTGTCAGGCGTGCACAAGGATGATGCTTCTCATTGAAAAGGCCAGACAGGGATTTACCCCAAATTTTAAATATACACAACTAGCTCCCTCCCATGGAGTCAGCTTTCTTCTTATTCTCAGGCCCTATGGACTCTTCTGAGATTCGGGCATCTTTACTTGGGGAAATCACACTGCCCGCCTGTGAGTGTCTGCAACTGAAGGCCACCACCTGCCTCCATCCTGGAGGCTTTTTGTCCCCTGAAGCTCACTCCCTAGTTGCAGAGAATGCCACTACCAGACACAGGGACATGGGTGGGCAGCCCATCCCAAGGCATCTGCAGAAATGTTTCTGTTTACCATACCCTTCTGGAGGCCCCACCAAGCAAGATTGATTTGGGTCCCAAGAGGGGGACTCTGAGGTTGCTAAGCGCACAAAGCCTGGGGAAAGACTCAGTATCACAAAAGAGCCTGGGGACTAAGAGAGTGATGAGCAGAGCAAGGGAGTACAGAGCAGATGGAGGGGTGGAAAGTGAAAGCCACACGTGCCAGGCTAGGGAGTTTAGACTTCGTTATGCAGAGGGTATAAAGGTATTTCAATCAACTCAGCAAAAATCAGTGGTAAAAGTTGTTCCAAAAATTTTGAGGCTATGAGTTGACAATTTTTTTTCTCAAAGAAGCAAAACATTCTCTTAAGCAATATACAGAAGTAGGAAACTGAGGCTAACAGCGGTAAAGAGTGCAGGCTTTAAAATCAAACAAAATTCCAGCTCTTTCGTTTACACACCATGTGGACTTGGGAAAGTTTTTCATGGCTCACAGCCTCAGTTTACTCACCTGCAAAATGGCTACTATTTACTCCAGAGGGTTTGATCAATCTAAAATGAACATATGTATGTAAAGCACTTAGCAAAGTTCCTGGCACACAGTGAGTGCTATGAACTGGAGTTACTATGTGGACGATTTAAAGCAACATGAAAACATGATGAAGTTTACCAACACATTGACTAGCATCAACTGACATGAACTTGCCTCCCCAATGCAGCTTCCTGATTATGATATTTTCTGTCTCCCCAGAATAGAATAAACTAAAGACTTCTAGAATTAAATTCCATCTGGTCTATCCATATATTTGATAATATATATAATAAACGTCCAAGTGAGGAGCAGAAATTCAGACTGAGCTGGTTCAAACATCCTGGTGTTGTGTAAACACCACTAAATATTTTTAAATCATTTTATGCGGGACTCATCGTTTTCTGTATAACACAGCAAATTAAAGTTCTCATTTCACACTGGAAAATGCACTCAGTCACAGGAGTTAAGACACTAATGAAATCACTATTTTTCAAGCCCGTAATACATACTTAGCCTGGTTCTAGACATGACATGGATAGACGAAAAGTACAAAATAGGGCTCCAATGTATAATTTATGATCTCACATTGGAGATGTGACTAGGCAAAGGGATTCCACTCGAGAGCCATAATCAACAGGGTATAATCAAGGGCCAGCAGCGAGGGTTCACCCCACAACCAGAGTGGTGAGTCGGCATGGAGCTAATATTTGGAAAGAACTGGATTTGCCAGTCATTATCAGAAATACCCACTTGGGGAGGGAATCCTTCTGAGAAGAGAAGAATCCATTTTCTGACACCCGCGGGCAGGTGACCATGGCTGAAGAGAACATTACCCACGTCCTCCGGGCTACTTATCTTTATTGGCACCATTCTGACAGGCAAATGAAAGGAAATATTTATTCCCATATAGAATCCCACTATTAAAACTTTCAGAAATCCCCTCCCTGCCACTATCACAATCACTAGACACACGCACACACGCAGCTGTGGGATTCTCCTACATTAATGGGACCCTTTACTGCTCTCCTGCACACTACCTGAGGCTCTTGTTACAACTTGGACCAACTTCTGGAGAACCTGCTCCTACACTCCTAAGCTGGAAGCATTTCCCCCTACCCCCTCCATCCAGCTATCGGAAAATCCATGAGATAACCTTCTCCCTCAGAACAAAAGGGCTTCCAGGATGTTTCACGGACTCTTCTCTGTGGGTTTGAAATTATACACAGCAGTGCCAAAGGTAAGGCATTTCTAGAGGTTTTTTTCCTTTTCTTTTTTTATTACCGTTCTGGCTGTTATTATTATTTTTTTTTGTTCCCATTCCCTCTCCCTCTGTGGTATCTATTTGTGGCCTACAGCAATCACTTTAGACTTTTTAGACACGTCCGGATAGAGATAGATGACACAAGTGATCTACTTATCTTCCTTTCCCATCACCAATAAAAGTGACAGCCCGCCTAATTAGGCCTAATAAAGCAGCCGCAGAAAGAGTGGCGCCGTTGCGATCTGAAGAGATATGGCACTGACCCGGAGATACAGGTGCTGCCTTAAGGCGCTGCTGCTATTACTTTATCTCCAATACATTACAGCTCGGCTCATGCCATATTCAAATGCAAGTAGCATGTTTTTCTCCTCGATTCTTAGATCAAGAACAAAAAAAAAGAACCCCATCTAATCAAAAAAGGCGCTGACAATTTTTCAGCCCCACATTAAAAGCAAAGAGTCATTCAGAACAGTGCACTCCATATTCTATTTTATAATATCACTTTAAGCTATTGCTTTGAATCTCAGACATTTCTTTGTTAAGAAGGAAAATCAAAAATTCATCAGAAGAAGTTCTTTCTTCCCCTTTCTCTCTTTTCTTTTCTTCTAGGGCTAGCATGGGGTTTGGAGCTGGAACCAACATTTGTAGAAGTTAGGAGTCCTTAAGCAATTATTGGCGGTGAGAGTCTGACACACAGGAGAGTTGTCAACAACTGACTTTAAACAAAGTGGAAGGAAGGAGAAATAAACGGTGCTCTCAGCAAAATTAATATACAGGCCTGCAAATTAATGATGTCGTGTATTTTTTTAAACAAGGGGAAAAAATCTGAACTTTGCATGAAACAGCATTTTAAGTACATCTTTGCAAAAATTATCAGATCGTCAAAGGGCATCAAAGCGAATTGAGTCTGCAACTATTCATAATATTTCCACATATGCTAAATGCAAAATTTATCTTACTTTATTCGCCTGTTCTGTCGCAATTATTTAGAGCTATTAGAAAGAGGAAAATGTCCTTGATCTGAAGTGCCAGTGCTTGTTCTACAGCATTTATTATAAGAAACATAACCCCTCTTACCCACATAAGCAAGCAGGCACGTGTGTGCATATGCACACGCATGCGCACACGCCTACACACAAATACACATTCTCCACTACTTACTACTGGCCAGATGCTACTTGCCCTGAGCATCCTATCTTACTTTAACTTATTCCTGCAAATAACCCATCCACGGTTTTGATTGCTACACGTATGCAAATAAATTCCCCCAATCTCTACTGCCAATTGTCAGTTCTAACCTTCTTCTTCTGTATCCAGAATGACACCCATGATCTTCCCATCCCTGCCCAATGTGAACCCTCTTCAAACATTCCTCCTCTCCAACGCTCCCCTGACACCAATGGTAGTTACAGCTCCCCTGCTGATAAGCTGTGATCCATCCCAACTCTTTTCTCTGCTGTGCTCGTGAAGTGAGGATGTTGTGTGTGATAGTCATGGCCATCATCTATGGAGGGTCTGTCAGGTGTTATGCACGATGACATATGTTACATATGGTAATTAATTTCCCTGACAATTCTGTGGGATAGGCATATTTTGTCCACATGTCCTAACCAGTAAGGGAACTCTCAGAAGTAACGTAATTTGTGCAAGGCTGCGCAGCCAATACGTTTCAGAACTGGAATTGGTGCCTGCTGACTATTATGACAGATCAGTTAAAATGGGAGGGAGCAGAGCGGCATTGGAATTAGTGGCCAAGTTGTCTCATTTCATCGTGTGCATCCTCACAATTATGCACCCCAATCACATCTCCTGAACCGTGGGATGGGTCTTTAGCTGAGTTTCTTACCTCTCGTGTCCATCCAGATATGTCCTAAGAGCAATCCCCATTTCTTCACACACAAAATTCCTGGCTCTGCCCCCTATCATCTGGGTAATGCTAGGAGACTTACTTACCTTCCCTGAGTCCGTTTCCTGTTCTGCAAAAAGGGGATGTATGACGTCCGCCTTGTAGGATCAGAGAGGCTGCGTGGGAAGGGCCTGGCACAGCTGTCATCATCCAGCAAGCTCAATTGAGAGCAATTGCTATTGTTACTGTCATTCCTTTCTGTCATTCATGCCTCACAACTCCTTACAAGATGTGATGCACAGCTTACGAGGCTTTCTAGGAGATAAAGGAGGATAAGATTGCGCTTAGAATTTCACAGACCTAACTGGATTGCTGAGTATGCCATTTGTTACCTTGTGATGTTGGACAAATCACTTACCTCTCTAACCCTCAGCTTTAACAATAGTGAAAAATGGGGGGACTTCCCTGGTGGCACAGTGGTTAAGAATCTGCCTGCCAGTGCAGGGGACACAGGTTCGAACCCTGGTCCGGGAAGATCCCACATGCCGCGGAGCAACTAAGCCTGTGAGCCACAACTACTGAGCCCGTGAGCCACAACTACTGAAGCCTGCATGCCTAGAGCCCATGCTCCACAACAAGAGAAGTCACTGCAATGAGAAGCCCACACACCACAACAAAGAGTAGCCCATGCTCACCGCAACTAGAGAAACCCCGCGCAGCAACGAAGACCTAATGCAGCCAAAAATAAATTTAAAAAAAAAAACAGTGAAAAATGGGTATGATAACACTGATTGAGCATGCAAGAGTTGGCAAAAGTTCTAAATGTGATAACAAAGAGTTCCTAGTACTATGAGGTCACTCCCAGAATCTCTGTTTTTTTAGATGAGAAAATTGAGGCTTAGGGAGATCCTGTAACTTCCCCAAATTACACAGCCAGATAGTAGCCAGGCTGGGATTTTAACCTAAGCAGCCTCACTGTGGAAACAGCACTCCAAGTGGTCTTGAATGATTATAGAACCCTTTTCCTCCCTCTATGAAAATGTCATTGACTAGCAGCCTCACTCCCACCCCACTCCCCTGCCCCACAGACTCAGGACACACACACACACACACACGCACAAACTGCTCAACTCAGTCACATCAGGAATCCCTTCAAGTACATACCTACTATTGGCATGTATACATGTGCCCATGTTTCTGTTACTTGCATTTCTGTACATCCCTCTCTTTTGTCATCCACCCTCCCCATATTTCCTCAAGGACCATGATCGTGTCTTTTATTTCCCTTCCCTCTCTCTGGAGCTCAAATCCAATCAGAAAGCATTTAGTAAAGGCTGTCAATGGAGCAAATGCGGGCACAGGATTAGTGCCAAGAGGGACGATTTCTGTATGCCAAGGGCTCTTCCTCATTTTAAAGACAGAACACCCGGCTGCTACGTCCCATCATTTCCACATGAACTCCAGATCATCTTCATGTGGCTGACAACGGCCCTTACTGGGAAGTACAACCTTACAGGAAAAACAACCATCAGGAAAACTCTGTTGGTTTTGGCGTGCTTGCATAAAAAGGGAGAAAAAAGCTTTCAGATCCTTTTGAACACAGGATTTTGGTTGTATGCTGAATCTGGGGCCTATGCAAGGGCTTCCTCAGAACTGTGTGCAGTTGTGCTCTGTATGTTTCAAGTGGCAGCGCCTCAGCTTTGGAGTCAGAGACAGATGGATTCAAATCTTGGTTGGGGTACCTACTGGTTGCAGCCTTGGGCAGGTTCCTCAATATCCTGAGACAGTTTCTCATCCGTAAAATGGGCACTACCATATATACCTCACAAAGACCGTTTTAAGAATGGACATTAAAGGGAAGATTTTTAAAACATTTTGTTTAATGAGAGAAGCCGGCCACAAAAGAGAGTAAGTATTCTCTATGGTTCCACCACACGTAGTTCAATAATAGGTAAAACCAGACCATACCTCAAGGAATCAGAACTGTGGCTGCTTCTGGGCTGAATTCAGGCATTAACTGGGAAGTACATAAGAGAACTTTTGGGGGGTGACAGAAGTTTTTCTATATCTTAATTAGAGTATTGGTTACACAGGTGTCAAAATTCATCCATTTGTGCACTTAAGATGTGTGCATTTTAATGTACATAAATGACACTTCAACTAAGAAAGAGATAAAATGAGACACACATATATATAAAACTAGCGAGTGCCAAGCAAACAATGGATGCCGTGTCTTAGACATTCAGTAACTATTTAATAAGCGCCTACTAAATGCCGGACGCTGTGCCTGGTAATGGAAATAACATGGTGGTAAATCATTATTACCATTTACGTGGTACCCGTACCTCTTCTTGTGTAACGGCATGGCTGGGTACAGAGGGTACACGACAGAAAGTGGACATTCAAAGAGCTGAGGCCGGAAGCTGGCTATGCCCAAGCCAGGCAGGTACTAGGGAGTACAAAACATGCCATGGGAATGGATGCCATCAAAAAGGCAGAAACTAGAAGGGAAGGATAGTCATAGGAAATGGAGGGGAGTCCAGGTAAGCATTAGCAACAGGAAGGAGAAAAAGAGGGTGCCCAGACGGGCAGGCAGAGCACAACAATGTGTGCCAGTGACACTTACGAAAAGTCCCTGAGCAGGTACCAGGGCCCCATCATAGAGCAGGTACCCATTTACCAAACCACTGGACAAGGTGAGGCCTGACAGTGAGATTGGTCCAGGCACCAGGTCGGGACAGACTAACCCAGTGCCAGCTGATGCAAGTCCACGCTCACCTCCTCTCTGAGGCTGGAGCCGGAGAAGACAAAGGACTCCACCCACACACGGGGAGAGAAGAGATATGGTGTCAGGGCACCAAGCAGATCCTGACTCTTCCCAGGCTTTGAGGGTAAATATCTAATCTGAGAGAAGAGCCATTGGTCCATAATGCGTATACTCAGACTGACCATGAAATTCCGTGGGAATATTAGTACATCTAGGGACTTGCATTAGGGCTCCTGGCATATGCGTTCTGTGTTCAAACCAAAAACGGTCACTTTGGACTCAGATGGACCTGGGTTTAAAATCAGCTGTCTGACTTGACCTTGTGTCAAGGTTCTCCTCAGTAACATGGAGATGATAATGGTATCTGCCTCTTAAGGCTATTAAGAAGATTCAGTGAGATAATGTATGTAAAATTCCTAATATAGTGCCTGACACACAGGAAGTGTCCAACCATGTAAAGCACTGTTATTAAGAGCCTGAGTGATAATTCAAGGCAGAGGGGCCAGCACACAATGATGTGTGCTTTGGCTTCATGTAAAACACAAATGGCAACAATGCTGCGGCTGTCTTATTTATTTATTTTGCTGCAGTGCACGGCTTGTGGGATCTTAGTTCCCCAACCAGGGATCGAAGCCGGGCCCTCAGCAGTGAAAGCGCAGAGTCCAAACCACTGGACCGCCAGGGAATTCCTGGGGTTGTCCCTCTTAGTGTTTTTTTCATGCCATCTATGCACATGGTCAATAGGAGAATTTTCATTCATAACAGTAAAAGCTACTTTATCTCATATTCTAACAGTAGGAATCTCTAGCCGACACCATTTCCAGATTTACTAGAATCAAAGTCCACAATCATAGCCTTATGACCTAGAAAATGCTAATGTACCTGATCATGAACAGAACTTGCTAGTGTCTCTTGTTGCAATTTCATTGTTTGCTAGTTGGCAACACATTTTGGTGTCAAAAGAAGAAGCACCTCATTCCCTGATCATTCGATATAACTGAGTTCACCATCATCTGAGAAGACACGATCACAGTTCAGATTTTCAGCGTCAGTTGACGACTATTTGAACGTGACTCAGTTGTTCATCAGCTCTGATTTTGGTCAGCTAGAAACCTTTGAGGAAGATGGGAAACCAAACTCAGACACACAGAATATATTAGTTTTGTTTAGTTTGGGGTGAGGATGCTATTTTGGGTGGTCCATTCCCAAAATACATCCCCGACCCTAGATTCGAAGTTGTCAGCCTATCCACTCCATCTTAAGAGCAGTCCACAGAGGTGGGTTTTACCAAAAGATTTCACAGGTTTCATGCTTCCACATAAACCTTTTGATGTATTTTTCTAACATTTCACAACTGGATTAAAATGTAACAAGGGTTCTATTGCCCCTCCCAAGTCTGCCCCAATTGTGAAACAATATGAAAAAAAGAGAAACACTGGGCCAGACAATAAAGGGGTCACATTACACGCTGCACACATGCCGTGCACACACTCTTCTCTCACATTCACAGTAGCTAGTGTTCTGCACACAAGAAGCTCTCCAGAGAAGCGGTCAAATGATGAAAATTGTGGACTCTATGGCAAAAGCAGCCAACTAAAATTATAATTCCATATTGAGTAAAACAGAGGCTGAGCCTCCTTTGTGGCTGCTGGAAGTCCTGTATGGATGAACGCCAGGTCAGAATATTACCATGAAATGTTTCTTACCATCTTTTTTTTGAACTCCCTGCTGTTCGTTCAGCATCTTTTCAACACCTCAGGGACTCAAAGGTCAAATGATTCCTTCCTGGATATATTTCCAGCCTCCACCCTCAAGTTTTTTGTTTTGTTTTGTTTTTTGGTCTCACCATGTGGCATGTGGGACCTTAGTTCCCCGACCAGGGATCGAACCCACACCCACTGCATTGGAAGCACAGAGTCTTCACCACTGGACCGCCAGGGAAGTCCCCCCATCAAGTTTTTAAACACACATGTTGTACAAGGCGTCTAATAAATTCCTTGTTTTGTGTAGTCTGATGATCTTAGCCAGAAGCAGTTAGGGAGCTGTATTAGTATTTGGTTTATTTCAAAATGTGTGGGCATGCTTTGAGTTTTGAAAATCCGTTTGTGGCAACTCTTGAGAAGAATCCTTGGGGCCCCTTTGGGGTGTGCTCCTGTACCCAGGTTACCAGAGCAATGCCTACTGACAAGCATTTCACACGCATGGCCAGTCTGTGGAAGGACTAAGTATGGGTAATAGTACTGCTGCTCTTTTCTCCATCGCTGGTTAGAATCTACCCTAAGTGGCAACTGGCTTTTGCACTCCCCACCCTTGGCTTTCTGCTCCCTCTTTTGAATACATCTCTTTAAGTAACTCACCAACTCATCAGCACACCAAATGCAAAAAAAAATACTCTTCTTTAAAACACAAGTGGACACTGAGGGCCCAGCATTGCTCTCTCGGGATTAACTAGTAACAAACAGATCTTAGCTCCCCAACCGGAGATTAAACCTGGGTTGAACCTGGGTCCCGGCAGTGAAAGCGCCAAGTCCTAACCACTGGACCACCAGGGAGTTCCCAAGCCTTCAACCTTAATGAAATGAAGCCACGAGCTCTCCAGTATATGCCCTTCTAAGGAAGGTGCAAAGAGCCTCACACGTAGAAGTAACATTTATCATCATCCTTTTAAAGAGATAATGGAAGCTATGACAAGAAAACAAAAAACAACTTCACCTGTAAAGAGTTCTGTAAATAACCCCTGGCAAGGCTGGGTCTTCCCCTTTTGAAGATCATGTACTCAGACATCCCAAGTTCCAGAACAGCTTGGTGAGCTCCAGAGCAAAATGGGAAATGGCAGAGTCCTGGGGTTTAATTCTTTTAGTGACTGTACATCGAGGACATCTTCCATATCACAAAGAGAAGGTTTCACCTGGCCTATGGGGCCTTCCGCCTTCCAACGCTGACAGCACTTCTTGCCAGAGGGGAAAAAAATTGCTTTTTAAATATTGACTCTCTCAGTCACTGCCAAGGCCAACCAGTCAGCTGTGAACCCCATTTGTTGCTGCCACATCGGAAACAGATCTCGAACTCTGCTGCCTGCCAAGCAGCATCTCTATGGCAAAAGCAAAGTGGCACTAACGATCCTGAGCTGAGATTCTAGGTATCCAAGCCAGAATTACAAGGAATCACTGCCTTACGTCACTTGAGGCGTCACCACTGAACCTCCTAGTGCCATGTCTCAATGACACCTCACACCTGTGTATTCTGAGTTCACTGCAAGTCTCCTGAGCCCACCTTGCCCTGCGGAGCTCCTCCTCTCCCCCACCCCCATCATCATCATCATCATCATCATCATCATCACTAGCAATTATATTAAGAGTTACTATGTGCCAGGCTCTTTTCTAGATTACTTTACATCTGTTACTGTCATCACTACCACTAAGAGTAATCGCTAATACTTGTACAGCACATATTGTCAGGCACCATTTCATGAATTCCACACATGCAATCCTCACAACACCCCTAGGAGATAGGTACCCTTATCATCCCGGCTTCCTAGGTGAGGAAACGGCACAGAGTGGTTAACACGCTAGTAAGTGGAAGGGCTGAACTTCAAACACAGGCTGCCTGGCTCTCGAGCCTGCTGCCTACGTGTGCCCTCTGATCCCAGGGGAGAGGCAGACCTAGAACAAGCAATCGTATTTCCAGGTTCCTTTAGAGAGGGACTCAGAAGGGGTTTCTGAGACCCGGTCCACCGTCTGGGAGAAGGTGACTATACGGTTGAGTCTTGAAGGACTAGGAGGATAAGTCAGGGAGAAAAGAAAAGGCAAAGTGTTCCTGACGGGTGGAATGGTGCACACACAGACCTGGGGGGAAGGCTTCCTCAGGGGGCTCCAGGCAGTTTCTGTCAAGTTAGAGCAAAGGATGAAGAGGGGAAGGATGACGAGATAAAAGTAAAGAGCACTGAACGCAGGCCCTGATGGCTCACCTAAAGTTAGACTGTACCCTGAGAACAACAGCACGCTCCAAAGGATGTGAAGCTGAGGGGCTACCACACATGGATTTCCTTTTCAGAACAATCCCTTGGTAGCCCTGTGGCAATCACACTAGACAAGAAAGGGAAACTAGTTAAGAAGCTGTGAGCACAATTCAGGTAAGAAATGATAAGAGTCTGAATTAATACCATGTCAATTATTATAAACATAAGAAAATTCTCAGTCTTGAACATTTTGATATTGCTTTAATCAAAAATACCTGTATAGACGGAACTTCCCTGGTGGTGCAGTGGCTAAGACTCCACACTCCCAATGCAGGGGGCCCAGGTTTGACCCCTGGTCAGGGAACCAGATCCCACACTCATGCCACAACTGAGAGTTCGCATGCCACAACTAAGGAGCCCGACTGCTGCAACTAAGAAGTGCCCCGTGAGCTGCAACTAAGACCCAGCGCAACCAAAAAAACAAAAAACCTGTACAGACGTGGGATCCCCGAAATTCTTGTCCTTTAGAGGACTCGACTGTAGCCAGCTCTTCCTCCATGGAACTCACAGGTGTAGCATCATATCATGAAATCAAAATAAGCTCACCATTTCATGTTTTATTATACTAGGACTCAATGGCTTAGCTATCGTCATTGCATAACAAAGATTTAATTCATCAAAATATTAATTAAATATTAATATTTAATTAATAAAATTATTAATATTATTCAATTAATCAAAATATAAGAGCTCATGTCTGTCTAATCATCCTCTTTTACATGAAGCAACTTGTACCATAGAAATTTAAAGTACATCCCCTATATCTCTCTATATCATGTCTCACTTTGAGCCATGGCTCTTAAAATAATGTCCATAACTACCAGGAAGCCACAGGCTGGCTGACTTCTTACCACATCTGTGCAGATAAGTGACACCACACCTGGCTCCCACTAGATGCTCAAAAGGCTTATTGAAAGAAAATAATGAAGTCAATGAGTGAAACCTATCACTGGGCGTCAACAATTTTCATTTAATATTTCACAAATCTACATATTATCCCATCACGTTCTCACAAAAGTCTATGCCATTTCACCTCTTTCCTTTGGAAAGGTCTCTCATCGGATGCCTTACTGTAGAAGCAGTGGTTTAAGGGACTCTGTAAACGGTGATCCACTGACCAAAAGAGTTTGAGAATCACTGCTAAGGGACTTAAGAGACTTCACAGCAATGATTCCTGATCAGCTTCGTAACAACAAAGAGCAAGACTGGGGGGTCACTTGAAATAGTACGTAGCTCAGAAATATTCCATAGATCACTGGGATTTTAGAGCTGGAAGACACCGGCCCAGAAAGGTGAAGGGGTTTACCTAAGGTCACGCAGCCGATCAGTAGCAGACTCATTCTTAATTCCTAGACCTGTATTCTTTTCACGATTCCATGCTGCCTGCTCATTTTGTGTGAAAATATTAAGAGAAGATAACTAGAAACGTGATGGTATACAAGCCAAAGATGTTCAAATGATGGTAAAGAAGCCTCAGAAATCCTAACGTTTAGTCCTAGTTTGCTGCTTAGCTGGGTGGCCACTTAATTTTTTTTTGAATCTCAACTCTCCTGTTTGTTCATGGCAGTAAATTCGCCAGCCCCGCTTTTCACTGTCCACGAGGCTGGACCCTTCCACCTCCACAGTTGCTTCCCCTCCGCTCAGAAATCTGTGCCTCCGTGTCTCCAAGTCCTGTCTCTACCTCAACTTACAGCCGGCTTTTCCCTCTTTCCTTTCATAACAAAATTCCTTGAAAGAATCTACACTCACAGCCACCACATGCTCTGGGTCATAAGCGGCCCCGCCAATTCTTAGCTGTGTGACCTGGGACAAGTCACTTAACCTCTCCATGCCTTGTTTTCCTTCAGTGTAAAATGGAGGTATTAATAGTTCCCATCTCCAGATTACTGCCAAGTTGAAACGAGATAATCGAGGTAAAGCACATAAGCATTCACTCAGCAAGTATTTATCCAGCGCCCGTGCCAGGAGGCATTCCCGGCACTGGGGATACAGCAGTGAACCAAAATAAATGAGTTTTCATTTCCACAAGGCTTCAGCATTCCACTTTGGAGAGTTTTCCTGCACCTCCTCAACACTCCCATTTGGATGCTATAATAAGGACCTTTACTTTTCAGGTCAATAGAGTGTGCCTCTTTGCCTTAAAACTTGATGAAACTACAATTGAGCCTTGAACGTGAGTTTGAACTGTGTGGGTCCACTTATATGTGGACGTTTTTCAATAGTGAATACTACAGCACTACACGATCCATGGTGGGTTGACTCCATGGGTGCTGAATGGGCAGGTACGGAGGAACCTCGTATATGGAGGACCAGAGCACGGACTGTAACTTACATATGGATTTTTGACTACCCAGAGGATCAGTACCCCTAACCCCCACCTCGTTCAAGGGTCAACTGTACTGTGAAAACTGTAAAATTCAACACAAATATAAGGGATTTTATTAGTACTCCTCAAGCTTAAGCAAAGATCTGGCAAACCAATCCCAATATTGTCTCTCCTTCCTTGGGATGCTGGAATCTACAATAAATTGGAATCTTCCTCAGGTAGCTGGATAACAAACCAAGTAAATTATCATTCGAACTTTCTATTCAAATCTCCAGGGCACAGATTTGCAAATCTGTTCAGAGTGAAGCCTCCCTCAGCAGAATTTCCTTAACACTGTTCCGAATCTGTCTCCTCATGCTGTCTTCTCCCCTGCTCTGCTGTATCGCTCCCATGAGGCAGGAAGCTCCTGGAAGGCAACACGCCTGTCTGGTTCACAATCTCCCTCTCCCAGACACTCGCCTTGACACAGAGTAGGCCCACAAAAATATTTATTGGTGAACAGGCACCAGGAGCAATGGAGGGGTTGGGCCCTGCAGAGGGCAGTGTGTGTTGGTGGCCGGCTCACTGCCACACTCACTACGTTTTCCTTTTAAGCCCATCCGTGCGCTTTATAAGTAAATAGAAAATGCTAACCTTAGCATATTCAAAAGAACGTTTTAGCCTGCAGCAATTAGGTTATCTCTCGGTTATTTATTTCTTCGGCTTGTTATTAGCTCTGCGCAGAATATTATTCTAATTATGTCAGCCCAATCAGCAGTATTGCATGTCCAGGCTCATTTCCATTAGTTTGAGCTTTGTCTTTCACACTGTGATACTAATTCAATGAGACATCAAACATTTAAATCGACCCGGGATGCCGAGGTCAGGCAGTTTTGCCCTTCCACTCTATTAGCACTCGGGTGTAATTGTGTTTGTCACTCCCCACATGACGGATAGTATCAGGGTGACCACTGGAGCACAAATGAGCAATGTGCTAATATATTATTTTGTTCTATAATATCAATATGTGTTTATTCAGTGCTTGTGCTAGCCAACTTGAAACGGTCACTTTAATACAGCCGCATCAAGTGCTTCTACTCCCAGTGAAGTATTTATTTGGAACGTTTGCTAGATTTTCCATGGAATTAGACCAAAGGAAGGAAGATAAAAATGGTTGCCAGGGAAAGGAACCATGAAGGTCTCAAAAGCCTCTAGTGGCACCAGTGAGGACTTGGCAACCACAAAAATGGAAGGTACAATGCAATTTTCTTTCCACCTCAATGCACTTCGCAAAACTCTTCTATTCTCTGGTAAATAGTTTAAAACTCAAGGTGCAACCTATGGTATTTGAACAAATATAAACTTGACCTGGAGTTAGCGGGCACTGTTGATTTTCATGACTCTGTTTTTTGACAGTGAGGAAAATAGAGAAAATTGGCAAGCAGTGAAAAGAAAAGTTTGGGGAAATCTGTCAGCTTGTTTTGCTTCCATGACAGGTAGATATTCGACAATGAATTTTTATCCCTGAGACCCCAACGAACCCAATCTGTGCTCTCGCCATGTTATTTACCCTTATCATTATGAGACTTAAATTTGAATATTAGTATAACATAGTGTTACCCAGAGTCTTAGTTTGTTATTTCACATTTCAACATCTAAAAAATAACTAGGGAAGCTGGTTTGCCAAGAAGTCCAAGTCAATATGGTGCACTGCCTGATCAAGAGGCACTGTGCATTCCAACAGGAATTCTATTACTGGGTCTCAATGCCTTTTCACAATCACCACAGGACAGACTTTGTTACTCTCATGGTGTAAGTGAAAAACTTAAGCCTGGAGAAGCTCGTATCTAAGCTGAAGATCCCACAGTTTGTCAGTGACGAAGTCAGAACCGGCTCCGGGTTTTTAGATCCCTCATGGTCATGACCTGCTCTAAAACCCCCAGCTGTCTACCCACATCTCTTAACTGCTGTCCAGGAGTTCGGGTCACCCCTGCTCTGCTGCCATCCCTTATCCAGGCTCTGGCTCCCCGCACATTCCATGTAGCCCGTGCTTGGCACTCGGCCCAGGCGGACTTATCTATCTTCTCCAAATCATAAACTTCTTACACTAATGCTTGCATGTGCAAAGATATGCATTGAAAGAAAGGAAGAGGATAAATCATCCCTAACCTCTACCGACAGGTTCAATGAATTACACCAATGTATGTTAATTGAAAAATCGCTCTTTATAAATATAGATAAACCTAAAAAGACACGACTAAGTACTTTTTAATAGCTTTTTTAAAACTCACCATTGCTTTACATGACCTTTCGATGTCTTTTTGTTCTATTGATTTTACCGTTCTAAATACAGATGTATCTTTTAACTTACTCTGAGGAATTAGCTGAGAATCTCCCATTTTCTGTTTGGGTCTCAGTTTTGCATGCCAGAACTGCCTCTAAGGTAGATACCACCCAACTTAGTGCTTCCATAGTTTAAGATACGAAGTTCTAATAACTGGTTCTACTGTGGGAGAAAATGGAACTTTTACTTTTGATACTGTAATTGGACCAGGAAACTGAAAACAGACCCATAAATAAGAATGTGATGCTCTTACTAGTCAATGATTTTTGTGTTCAAAGAATGGGAGGAGCTTCATATCTTTAACAATTTTTTCCACAACATTTCTGCATACTGATATCTGCATACTGAAAGCAGCACATTAGACTTTTTTCTCAAAGATCACAAGTTGAGCAGAAATGCAAGCAGAAATAAG